ACAGAGTAACACAGAGAACCTGAATTTAGTCTTTCGCAAATATTATTAATTAGATTAAGTTAGATACATGAAGTTACATACTACGATCTATATATCTAGTAGAATGTATGAAAATATATTGTAAAATAAAACATTAAATGTAAATGTGTAGTCCAGAGCACGACACCCTATAGGCAGTGCTGCACAGATAGCTTCGCATATATTCTTTTTTTTGTTGTTGCTAGCATTGGTAGTCTGTCGCCTCTGTCGTACCAGGGCTGAATGGCAGTGGCACTAATCTCGGGCTCATAAGTCAAACATCTCCGCCTCCTGTAGTTCAAGCGGATTCCTGCGTCCTCCAATATCGCTGAGGCCTCAGCCTCGCTGTGTGGCTGCTAGTAGCTACAGACAGTGTGTACCCACCAACGCGCCGAGTCTAAGTTTTTGGTATTTTAGTAATGGATAGGGTGTTCAACCGTGTTATTGCCCAGGTAGTTGTGTCCTGCACATCTCCTGACCTCACGTGCTCCACTGCCTCGCCTCCCAAGAGTGCTGGGATTGACATGGCGTAGCCACCGCTGCCCATGACATTGCCACTATATCTCTTATACCAGTAATATACCATCCTCTTGCACTAGGAAATATACAAGGGGTCAAATAGGAGCTTTCTTTAACATTCCATATCGTGCTCGTGCTCTCATGACTCCAAAAGTCATTACTGGCCGGAATCCATCTCGGCAAGTCGGGCATGGTTAATTGTTCGAATGTTCAGCAACATAGCTGGGCCTGGGTTTCATCCCCTTCTGCCCCTTAGGGACTTTGCTCTATTATTCCTACTTTCTCCTCTCCTAGTTTTATGGTTTCAGATTCCCTTTCTTGTCCCAAAGACACTCCAGCCTATAAGCATGCTAAGATCTGCCTTTAAAACAATATAAAATAACTTTTCTCTCTATCCCTATTATTTTCAGCTAAATGCCTTGAAGCAGTAGCCTACATTCACGGAATCCACTTCTTTCTTTTCTTTCTTTTTTTGAGACGGAGCCTCACTCCGTCACCCAGGCTGGAGTGCGGTGGCGCAATCTCGGCTCACTGCAGCCTCCTCCTCTCAGGTTCAAGCGATTCGGTGCCTCAGCCTTCTGAGTAGCTGAGACTACAGGTGTCCGCCACCACACCCAGCTAATTTTTGTATTTTTTAGTAGAGACGGGGTTTCACCATGTTAGCCAGGATGGTCTCGATCTCCTGACCTCGTGATCTGCCCGTCTCAGCCTCCCAAAGTGCTGGGATTACAGGCTTGAGCCACCGCGCCCGGCCTATATACATTTCAATTTAACATTTACAAGAACTCTATAAAGTAGGTATTAGGAGATATTCCTCCATGTGTCTCCCTGCTGTGACTCCAAAGTGACCAGTGTGCCCACTCATATTTACTTCCAATCCATCTCGGCAAGTCCTGCCTTCACATCTTGCTGAGTTGGCAAAAATCGCAAGTCCCTGCCTTCAACAAATTCTCAGACTTGATCCTATTCACATACCTAGAGTCTCCTGAATGAAGGGGAGGCTGGGTCCCCTTGATGAAGGACTGTTCTACACTGACAAAAACATGCTGTAAACCTTCTAGCATTTTCCAAGTGTACCTGCAGCCATTTAGCAAGCACATTAGATTGGAATGTATACACAGTGCTTAACTCAGTACATGGCATATCATGAAAGCTCATGATATTGAGCTATTAATACTGCAGTGGGCCAAAGAATAAACAAGTGGGTTCAGTGAATGTAGACTACTGCTACTGTGGGCATCAGAGAAGGGGAAGTAACTAGAGTGTCCAGAGATTTGTGGACATTGGACCTAAACTAATTTTAATTCTAGGAGATTCAAAATGTAGTTTACCAGGTACAGTGGACTCATGGGATCAGGTTTGTGCAGGAATGGGTTAACTCAGCAGGTGTAGGTTGTTCAAACCCTGCACATTCCAAAGAAAGCTCATCTTCAGAATGGGCATTTGGTCTGCTCCTGGCAAATAACTTCTGAGCCCGTGGAATATTTTATTTGATTAGTGTTTTTGTATGCCAGAGGTCTTGGGCCATGCCATCATGCTGTACCAGTCTGAACAAGTAAGTTTATCCTAAGTGTGATTTATAGTGAACCTTGTTTTTTGCTCTGGGGTCTGAGTAGTAGAGATCAGTAGTGTGGACATTCCAAGCTTATGTGACTGACCCCCAATAAAAACCCTGCACATGGCCGACGCAGTGGCTCACGCCTATAATCCCAGCACTTTGGGAGGCCGAGGTGGGTGGATCACCTGAGGTCAGGAGTTTGAGACCAGCCTGGCCAACATGGTGAAACCCCGTCTCTACTAAAAATACAAAATTAGCCAGGTGGTGGCACACACCTGTAATTCCAGCTACTTGGGAGGCTGAGGCAGGAGAATCGCTTGAACCTGGGAGGCGGAGGTTGCAGTAAGCTGAGATCGCGCCATTGCACTCCAGCCTGGGTGACAAAAGTAAGACTCTATCTAAAAAAACAAACAAAATAAAACCTGCACCCTAAAGTTTGCGTGAACTTCTCTGTTTGGGAACAATCAGCACCTGTTGTCAGAAATCATTGCAGGAAGGAAAAAGGACATCCCCGTGATGCCTCACTGGGAGTAGTATTTATTAGAAATAAATAAGCAAAGCCCTTGCCACTCATTACCCAGAACATTTCTCAGGACAGTGTTTGCAGCAAGCCAACCTTGAGGGAGAGGTAATGTCTGCTTCCAGGGCAAAGAGCAGCTTCCTCACTGCTTACTATAAAACAGCAGATGGGGCCGGGCACGGTGGCTCAAGCCTGTAATCCCAGCACTTTGGGAGGCTGAGATGGGCGGATCACAAGGTCAGGAGATCGAGACCATCCTG